CTGATGTGGACACAGGGCAGGGACTGGCAGTCCTAGCTGAAGCCATTTTCACTGGTTTTGGGACAGTGACCAAACCTGGCCCCTGAGGTTCACTGGAAGAAACTTTGAACCAGACCCTGCCCTTGCTCTCCCTGCCAGGTTGGGACAGCAGGTTTCTTCTGGGCAGGACAGGAGATATCCAGCATTGATTGTATTTCAGACAGATCTTGGGGCTCATTCATTCATTCACTAACTTATTCCACAAGCATTTTTTTAAAAGATGTATTTATGCATACAGAAACTGGGGTACAGGCTAGAGGTATGGGGGATAGGGCTGAGAGGACTCACCAGAGACAGTGTGGAGCAGAACAGGCAGAATGACTGAAATACACTGCTGAGGGAGCAGCCGGCGAGACAGGAGAGGTCTGTGGCACCATGTGGTCACCTCCCTGGCCGGCCATCGAATTTGTGCTGCAGTGGCTGTGGAGAGCTTCACAGTGCTGCACTCATTAACCCCTTGCACCACCAGGGAGGTCCTCCACAAGCATTTCTCGAACATCAGCAGTTTCCCAGGAACTATGCCACAAAGAGACACAAAGATAAACAGGTGACAGGCAGTCAGTCTCTGCTTCTCGTCAGCTTGGTTATTAGAGGATTACTAGAAGGATTAATAATTTGTTTATTGATTAAAACTGTTTAAGCAAATAATTACACAAATGATCAACTTTTGAAACTGTGATAAGAGTTTGTAGCCTTTTCTTAACTGAAGAAAAGTAACTGAACTTCCTCTTTGTACTGTTTGGCCTAAAACACATAATGCTATGGTATTTCACCCTTGAGAAAAGGGAACAGAGGCCAAGGTCCCGGATGAAATGTTCAAATAACATTCACAAATCACGTGATCAGATAGAGAGCCTCTTAGGATGGTACTTAGTGAATTTGCCTGTGTCATTGTCTTTATTTGCATTTGGAGATTATGTCAGACTTAAATGTTTCTGGCCAAGCCTGTTTTTAGTTCTTAGGGAAGTGGGTGCAGGAAACTTGGTGTTTCACTGGCTGTGGGCTCAGTGTTGGGGAAAAGGAGCTGGAGCAGCCGTGTGCACTGCCCCTCCACCTGGCACAGCAGAGGCTTCAGCTCTGTCCAGAGTTGCGTTGGCTCCTCTTGTGCTCAGATAGCTTATTAAATTAGAATTTTAGACCTTTAAACATTCTTCATACTGTTTGAAGAAGCCACAGTTAACATCTCCCAAGCAATTCAGCAGAACTAGGTTGCTAGGCAGCAGACCTTTAAAGACAATTTGTCAATTTCTGCCAAAGGAGAGAAAAATAGTAAACATTCACATTCTTGGAAAATTGCTTGTTTTCCAGTTTCGAACTTTCTTGCCATAGCAAGCCCTTCAGTTCATCAGTGTCCATTTTATTCCTTATTTAGTTTTCATAAATAATTCAGAAGCGTTTTAGCAGAATAATCGAGCTCTTTTTCAAGCCTAACCTCTGGCAATTCAAAACAAAAGGATATTTGGGTTACAATCAGCTTGCCATATTTGTGAGCAGGTTTTATATAAGTGTACAGAGAATCCCTTGGAAGGTACACCATACCCAGCTGTAGCCTTGGGCAGCAGTCCAGAAAGGGTGGAAGTCCACGGAAGATGTTGAGTCATTCAGCCTGTGTTGGCACCTAGCATGTGCCAGGCTTGTGTGCATGGTTGGCTCCATACCTGTGGCCTGGCCAGACTTCACTGAGCTTACCTTCTAATGAGGGGCACCCTGTAGGGAACCAGGAGGTGGTAGTCTGAGAGAGTTCAGAGGAAGCGTACAACCGAACTAAGATCAGGGGAGGCTTCCAGAGCAGCTGTGGGCTGACCCGAGACCTTACAGGTGAAGGGTTCCACTTTGGCAAAGGAGAAGAGTAAACCAACAGAGTCCTGCCTGGGCGAAAGTGCCCAGAAGACTGCAAGTCCATTTCTGACCACGGGTCTGGTATGTCCTTGAGCTAGCTACTCAGCCTCAGAGTGGCAGGAAGATGGTGGAAAGCTACTTGGAGGTGTTGGAACTTGCATAGGCCAATGTCTGATTTGTATATTCCAGTTCTATTTTTTTAGATTTATTTATGCATGAAAGAGATGGAGTGTAGGCCAGAGTTGGAGGAGGGAGGTGAGAGCATTCACCAGAGTGGGAAGCAAAACAAGTAGATCTACTGGAATCCACTGCTGAGGGGAGCAGTAGCTGAGACAGGGAAGGTCTGCTATGCCACGTGGGTCAGCTCCCTGGCCGAGGATGGAACTCGTGCTGCAGTGTCTGTAGGTTGCTTCATAGTGCTGAGATTTAACCCATTACGCCACCAGGGAGGCCCCTGCATATTCCAGCTCTTGCAGAAGACACCTAATTTCAGGTTGATTCAGGGCATTGGCAGTGAACACTTGACCTAAAGGGACGGTGAGGGCTGTGGCAAAACGCTGGCTGGCTCTGGGGTTCTCTTGGCCTGGGCTCCTTTGTCGCTTCTAACACATAGACTCTCAAGTAGGTTTTTTAAGTAACCTAACTCCCAGGTTTCTCATGAGTAAAGTAAGGGTGATGGTAGCATCTGCTCTAGCACTATGGAGTTAGCCTAGAGACTAATAATAAATTCAAGACAGACCTTAGGCTGGTACTGGGCCCAATACCAGTGCTCTTTAAATGCTACTGCCTGAAAGGGCCACTGGTGTCTAGTATGAGTGACTCAGGATGAAACTTGGAACTCTCTTGGAACCAGACTCTTCCTGACTCTCCTTGACCCAGTCGAGAGTCACTTGAGTTTGTAGTGTTATGCCTGTGCTTGGTGAGGGCCATCTCTCCCCAGCTCGTCTCTGCCTCCAGCTTGGGCAACACTCTGGTCCTTTGGGTTTGGGGGCCTACAGAATTGGGTGTTGCTCTGTTCAAGTTCCCTCTGCTGAGGGGTTTCTGCTTCGGGTACATCCAGTAGGTTTCTTCCCCTGTTAACGGGGGCTCAGAAACACTGCCAAGGAGACAGCTGGCAGCCTCAGATTGATCAGAGTATTCCCCAGAGACCCTTTCATTCATTCACTTGCTCGTTGTCTCAGCCACTATTAAGTTCCATCTATGTGCCAATTCAATATGCCAGGCACTAAAAATGAAACAGGGTAGGACAGGTGTGCTGGGGTCGTGGCAAGAAAACAAGCAACCTCGGTAAATCAGTTCCTTTTGCAGAGTGTAAGGGCTGGGCAGCGAGGCAAAGGATCATAGGGAGGGAAGTGGTTCTGTTGGGCTGTTGCTGGTCCCCAAGTCAAGGGTGACTGGGATAAGAATCCCAAGGGTGACGTTTGAATTGCAGCCCAGGCTGGGGAACAAGAGGCTTCAAGCTCATCCCTACCTCCTTGAAGGGGCATACCAGGACCCTAAGCTCTTGAGAAGTTCATTTCCTGGGTGAGATGACAGGCTGATTTAGGTCTGTGGGCCCTTTGGCATCAAAGCAACAGAGCTTCAGATCTCATGCCACTTGGCTGCTGGGGGTGGGCGAATTCAGGGCTGTCTGAGGCCCCTGTGGGCTCAATTTCACCCCTGCCAGGTCCTGTAGTCAGGCCCAGAGGGAGATGATCTTGCTAATGTCGGTAGAGGCGTCTGCTGGGAAAGGCCCCAGCCAGTAGACGGGGCTACTGAAGGCCACCATGAAAGCACCCAGCGCACGAGTTTCTGTTCTCCCATTAGCCAACTTTCTGCTTGCTAATAAGATATGCAAATGATCTGGGCTGTGAAATCTTCACCACATTCCATCTTCTGTTTAATTAGCATTTAATCGTAATCTCATTTTAATTTTTTTCACGCTGGCACCCTAATTAAATGTTAGGGTGTTAGTCTTAACAATTAAATTATATTGGCAAATAGAGTCTTCAAGAAACTTGACCTTTTTCAAGCCAGAACCATCTCTAGCTAGATACAGACATTAATTAGATTTCTGCAAGATGCCGCCTGCAGCCCCTTTAGTGCTTGTGTTCCAGTTGTTTTCTTGTGGTTGTGGCCCTAGACTCAAATGAAGCACACACAGCTAGTGAGTTCGGTCCCCAACAGGCTGAGGTTACCACTGAATAATTTTACCAAGCGTCTGAAAGCCAGCGGGTGTTTTTTCCAGAAAGGGGTTGGTTTGGAGTTTGGGCTGGTGCCTGGAACACTCCTTGAAGTGGTTTCTCTTGACACAGCAATGTGAATTCTCCTTTAACTTGTGATTCTCATGTGATGATCCAAGGGAAGTTGGTACCTACGCAGGTCACACAGTGTCTGGAGCTGCCACCAGCTCTCACAGCTGCCCTTTGGAGGAGGCCATGGGAAGGTCAGCAACTGGGGTGGGAGCGGCATCGCTGATGCCCCTGGCATGGTCAGGGGGCGGCAGACCCATCAGGAAGGGCAGTTTCCCCTTCAGTGATCAGGTGTCAGGACCAGCTCAGAAGGACTTGGGTGGACTCGAGAAGGAAGCAGCCCCGTCCTCCTCGGACGCCTCCCAGGGGGGCCCGGTCTGCCTGTTCTTGATAGACCCTGACCATGGGGAGCTTTTTTCTGGGCTGTCCCAATCTTTAGCTCTTTGGGTTATAACCTGGCTTTTCATTTTCCTGGAGTTGGAGCCCTGCACTCTCATAGCTCCACTTGTGTGTGGTTGCAAATACCAACTTCATCTTAAACCTTCAACAGGAATTCCCTGAACATTCACTAATGACAGTACTGCATTCATGGAGCCTCCCTGCCATCTGCTTTTCTCCCTCTTTTTGCCTTTCTTGGCAAGTGTTTCCTCTTCCCTCTTAGATCCACTCCCATCCATCCCTCACTCTATCCTGTAACAAATCGAATACATGTGAATTCAGTTTGGCCTGTTTTTAGAACACCTACTGCGTGTAACTAGGTTTAGAGGCACCACCTCATTGTTCTTATGCTTGTAGAAGTCATTCAAGTCACATTTACCTTTATTTCCCTTGGCCTGTGGGCCAGACTACCCTGAGGTCATCTGAATCCACTTTCTCTCTTGCTTCTGACAGGTTTTCCGGACAGACTTGATCACAGCCATGAAGATCCCAGACTCATACCAGCTCAGCCCGGATGACTACTACATCCTGGCAGATCCATGGCGACAGGAGTGGGAAAAAGGTGTGCAGGTGCCGGCAGGGGCCGAGGCCATTCCGGAGCCTGTGGTGAGGTGAGCTGGGGGCCCATAGGCCAGGAGGAAGAGGAAGCTAGGATTGGGTAAGGGACCGACTAGTCTAGGGTTTTTTTCTAACCTGTCTCTAGTTTGCCTTTGATTCTTTTGTCCCGTAAGCCTTTGCCATGTCCTAGAAATATTGGCAGTTTATCTTTCAGGGTGGGGACTTGGAACCAGAAACAATCTCCCTGGGCTTCCATTTTCTATTCTGTGAACTGGGAATGGTAACAATGACCCCGACCGCCCATGGTGGTGGTGGAAATGAGGCAGGCGGACGATGTGTGGCAGGTACGGGGCATGGAGCCGGGAACTTAAAAGCACTCAGTGAAAACTGGATTAGTTTGATATCAGTCTAAAGCTGGTCCCCCAGCTAATCTTGTCAGCAAAATCTCTGGATGCTCGACTAGTCCTTAGCACAGGGATAAGCCCCTGGCTTCTTAAACCTTTTTCAAGGAGTTTTTAGTGGGAGAGAGCCGAGTGCCTGGCATGTAACAGATGCTCTGGAACCAACTGTGGTGACCAGCCTCTGAATCAGTTCCCTGTTAGGTAGGGTTGAATCTTTTCTGGTCTCTGTAGCTTTCTGTTCTTAGGGGACAGAAAGACCCCGAGGTGCTTTTGTCAGGAGGTGGCGTCATGGCCATGGGCCTACCTTCCAGATCCAGAGGTCAGCCAAGTGCTTTCTGTACTCTGGGAAGCCCTCCAAGCCATGGCTTGGGCACTAGGGCCTGCTGTCCGGGCTGGTCAGTTTGCGTTCCTGGCAGTAAATCCCTGGCCTTGGCAGCTCCTTAACTCTTTGGTCCATTTTGACCATGCATGGGGCAAAGGTCAACGTAGTGCCCTCCCTCAATGCTGGCACTGATGACTTCTGGCAACCATACCTTTGACTGGGCCCACTTGATTCCAGACCTGCCCTGGGTGTAGGGTTAGAGAGACAAGGCTGACAAGAAGTCCCACTCAGGGGCTTGGGGAGAATTGCATGCTGGGCATGCTTTGCCTCCTGAGGGCTAAGTGCCTACTGACCATTGTCTGGGGCACTCCAAGAATCAGGGAAGCTCCAGGCCTCTCTGGAAGGGAGGATGTGCAGTGTCAGGACAAAATTTATTCTTGACATCTGTCATTGTGGGTCACACTCTAGCCCATTTCATTCCTCATATCTGCAGCCTAAACAACTGTCACTGACCTTTTGGGCCCTGTTTCCAGTTCTTGACATGTTGAGAAGGGCCTAGCAATATAGGGCTAATACCCGATGCTGTGGCAGTGAGGATTCAGTGAAAACTCAGACAAGTCCAGGGTGACCAGGAGAGAGGGGTGGGCCACGGACTGGGCAGAGAAAGGGACGTCCCACTATGTTTGACCCAGCAGTCTGTTTGCTCCCCTTGATGTCAGTGTCAGATAGTTCTGGAAACATCTGCTATACTGAATAATTGCAGATGCCTCCACACCAGTAGCTTGGCCTCAGTCGGCCTGCCCGGTGCTTTATCTGCCGGCATCACGCACGTGTTCAGACAGCCCTGGCGGCACTGAGCGCATTCCTGGCCTACACGCGGCTGCTGCAGCTAACAGAAGCCAGGCACTGCTGGCCGGTCCATGCTCTGGCGGGGTGGACCCGAGGCCGAGAGGGCTGCTCTGGGGGAGAGATCTGTCCCTTCTTCCCATCTCCCTGCATCCTTGTTCCTCCCTCTCACTGGTTGCCTCTGCCACGGCTGTCCAGCACAGCAAGAATTGTTACAGGAACTGAGAACTTTCTGTGCCGAGCCCGTACTCATCTTCTCTCATATCAGTTCTCTAAAGTACATGTTACTATCCCCATTTTATAGATGAGGAAGTTGGGAAGTTCTGGGGAATTCCCTGCATGATTGCCAGGCCCTGGTGAGCTGGGCCAGGAAATCACAGACCTTGAAAACAAGCCCTGGGCTGCCCCTGTGAGGCCCATAGTCTTGTGCCCAGATGAAGCATGCTGGTGCTGACTGGCCTCCCCCAATTGCTACCCTAACTCCTTCCTTCCTCCTTGCCTGATCCTCACGATCCAAAACTTCTCTTGGTAATGAGAACCTTTCTTGCCCTAGATCACTAAAATTGAATGCAGGTCTGTGCTGCTCTCTTGAAGTGGTGGAAAGATTCAGCCCAGGCAAAACCAGCCTCAGGAATTCAGTCTGATCTTCAGTGCTAGGGTCCCTTCCTTGTCCCCAGATACTCAGTCTTGATCTAGGGTGAAGTGGGTCTATATACCTGGTAGAAAAGCTTCCTTCATAGCCAAAGAGAGAACAAGTCCAAGGTAAAAGTGAGAGCCCCATGAAGCACAGGAAATACCTCTTCTGGTGTTTCCCTTTGACCCTGGCTTCTCGGAATAAGAAACATGACCTTGGCCCCAAGTGGTCTGGCCAGGTGAAAGCTGACTGAATGCACAATTGCAGGTAGTGGTCCTTCAGATGGGAGTTACTGAAACCCCCGACTAACCATACGCTTAGGGCATAAAGTGGAGTAGTAGACAACGGTATTGTCTGCTTATTTGTTTATTAAAGATTTATTTATTAATTTATTAATAATATAATAGTTTGTTTTTACATCATTTTGTGCATTTTTTCCATCTCAGTTGTAATCCCCTTGGGCTTCCCATCAAGATTTATTTATTTTTGCATACAAAAATTGGAGTTTAGGCCATAGGTGCAGGGAGTGAGAGAATTCACCAGAGACAGAGTGGGGAGCAGAACAGGCAAAGTGACTGAAATCTACTACTGAGGGGAGCAGCGGGTGAGACGAGAGATCTACTGTACCATGTGGGTCGGCCAGTGATCGGGAATCAAACTCATGCTGCAGTGGCTGCTGCAGATAGCTTCATAAGTGCTGCCACTGAACTCCTTGCCTCACCTGGGGGCCTGTATTTATTTACTTTAATTTAAACACAAGACTGATGAGAAACGACAGAGTTTTGTAGGACTTTGAGAATATTAGTATTGTTTGTAATGAGAAAAACTTCCGGGGGGCTGTCATCTAAGGCCTTTCTTCCTCACAGCTTTGTGTGCAGGGAGAGGTGGCACCAAGTGCTGTCCCACTTCCCACCCCTGGGCTTCTCTCCTGGCATGGGCTAGAGCTCACTCTGCCTCTCTGTTTCCATCCTTCCTGTGCCTCTCGCTGACACCCAGAGCACTTCCTCTCCACAGCTGGGCCGTGTCTCTGTGCCACCCGGGGCCCTGTGCTTCCCTCCTCCGTCTGCGCTGAGTCACAGCCCCTGGCAGCTCTGCCTCCGACCCCAGGAGGCCTCCTGGACAAGTGAGGGGCCTCTCAGCCCTGGCAAGACTGGCCAGATGGAGGCCAGGCTCCATAACAATAACCATGGCAACCAGTGGGGGGTGGGGAGAGCTGGCATTTTAAACTGGCATCAGGACCTGAGGGGCAGTACACAGCTGAGCAGAGGGGAAACTGTGCCCTCCTAAGGCAAAATGCCCTCGTAGTCTGTTTGAGAAGGAGTGAGGCAATCCCAGAAGTCTTACCAGATACAGAGGGCCGTGCTGTGTGCTCGGCACTGTTCTAGGAGCTTTATATGCATCTGTCCCTTTAATCCTCACACCAGTGGGAGAAGGTGGGTACATTTATTGTGCCCCGCTTTTTGGATGATCTTACTAGGACACAGAGAAGTTAAGTGGCTGCCCTGGAGTCTCATATTAAATGGTGAAGTGGGGCTTTGAGTCCACGCTGAGGCCAGGGCCCTTCCAAACTCCCTTAGGGACAGGCCTGGCCTGAGTCTGGGACTCTAGGAGCGCCTGTTTGCAGGCAGGTGGAGGGGCCATGTAGGGAGAGACTCCTGCTCAGGTAACACAGTGTCTGGGGGAAGGCCAAATTGTGAGGGAACACTGTGTGCCCTGAGGCGGTAGACTAGGCTACGTGGCCTCTGAGGCTGAGGCAGCTGGTGCAAAGGGCGGTGTGTGTGTGGGGGTAGTGTTCAGCAAATGCAGGCAGTAGTGTGTCTTGCGTCCCAGTTCCCAGTGGATATATGGGCATGGACCTTTCCCCACACCAGTAATCCGTTCTCTGATAGCAGCAAGGTATCTGAGTATTCAGCTCATTTCGGACCCTCTAACTGGAGGCTCCACCTGTGCTTGAGACACTAGCTCAAGCCCTGGCAAGCCTGTGCTCTGGCAGCTGCTGTGGATCTGAGGTCCCCGAGTGCCCCTCCTCAAACTTCAGGTGCCCCTAGCTATAAATCAGAGTTATCCAGAATGCCCTCCCTGAGGTCAAATAATTTGATAAAACAGTACACAGAACTCAGGAAACCCCTTTACTCACTCGATCACTGATTTATTACAAACGCAAAGAATAGGAATGAGCAGCTAGATGGAAGTGATGAATAGAGCCACATGCGGACAGGTGCGGAGCCCCCATATCCTCTCCGGGAGCAGCATTCAAAACCCTAAGCCCCTTCTCTTGGTGGGTTCTTATGGGGGCTCTGTTACCTAGTTATGGCTGATGAAATCATTGGCCTTTGGCAACTGAGTGCCACATACTCCCTCTATGGAAATGGGTCTAGGAGGGAAAGTCCCACCCTTTATTCTTGTTGGTTTCACTGACAACCATCTCCTTGACACTCCTCCCTACTCCCCTCAAACACCACCCCCCCCATCTTAGGTGTTTTCCAAAAGTTACCTTCATTAACATAGACCGTGAAGAAGAACAACACATCATTTACACTTTCATGGCTCTGCAGTTTACTCAGAAACTGAGAACCTGAGATCAGATATTACAAAAGATGCTCCCATGTTCTAATGGCTCAGGAAATTCCAAGGCCTTTGGGGGGAGCTGTGAGACAAGAACTGGATGAAGACCAAATATGTATGACAAATGTATTCTTGTCACTGGGATAACCAAATAACATGTGTATAGACCCATATGTACACACACATATATATGCACACACACATATGTCTTGAAATCACATTATCAAAGAGGGGACAGTCCTGGGCCTGAATAGGCCAACTCACTGGAAGTCCGTGGACACAGTGAGGATGCCAGGCTGAGGGCTACTCCACTCAGGATGTTCCCTCTTGATTTCCTAGGATCCTCCCACCACTAGAAGGACCCCAGACATCCCCTAGCGGCTATGAACTTGGCGAGGGCTCCCAGCCTGATTGGCCAGGGGGCAGCCGCTATGACCTGGATGAGATTGATGCCTACTGGCTGGAGCTCATCAACTCGGAGCTGAAGGAAATGGGTAAGTGACCTGCCAAGTTGGATGGGATGGGCAGCCCAGCATCTGAACCCCAGGGTCCTCACCCTCAGCAGGGCAGTGGCCGCAAATGGGCTTTGGCATGGTTCTGGGGACAAGTCCCCTGTTATGTTATTGATCAGAGAAGTTATTTAGTGCCACTGTGTATTGGTTTCTCTAGCTGTCCTATGAGGGTAATAGTAGCACATAATTTATAGTTCTTGGGAATACTGCGATTAAGTGTGAATGTTCGTATGTAAAGTAAGCGAGCACACAAATGAGTCTGGTGACAAACTGGGCTAGGGTCAATGTGTGGGGCCCCTAGCTGGAACCCACTGACACATCCTAGGAAGCATCTATTCCCCTGAGGTTCTCCCCATGCTCAGTACAAGCAACAGATTCCCTGTGAAGCCAGCCACATCCCAGACACACTTCGTGTTACCTGCAAGTGCACGAGTATGGTCAGCACAGAAGGCCCAGGGTTTTGGGGTTGGCTGGTCTGGCCTAGTTAATTTTCAGAAGGTGGTGCAAAGGCCCAAACAGCGAATGGGTTTTCCCAGGTCATGTAGCTATTGAGGGGGCCCTCCCCATATGTAAACCGTGAGAGACTGACTCAACTTGCTGCCTGGCTGTCCTCACAGAGAGGCCAGAGCTGGACGAGCTGACCTTAGAACGTGTGTTGGAGGAGCTGGAGACACTGTGCCACCAGAATATGGCGCGTGCCATCGAGACGCAGGAGGGGCTGGGCATCGAGTATGATGAGGACGTCGTCTGTGACGTGTGCCGCTCTCCCGAGGGTGAGGATGGCAACGAGATGGTCTTCTGTGACAAGTGCAACGTCTGTGTGCACCAGGTGGGCAGCCCCCGATCTGCCTCCCCCACGCTGTGTCCTTGCACTGCCTGGGCTTGGTCATCTGTCTGCAGGAACGCAGAGGCATTGAGGGCACAACACCCCCCCCCACACACACACACACTCCCTTAGAAGGGGAAGGCAAAGGGGGGTGGAGGGCTGCAGGAGTGCAGCCCCCCTGGGCTTTGCCTTGTTCATCAGACTTGAGTAAAATCCCACGGGTGGTCTTTCTGTCCTGTTGGCCTCCCTCAGAACCTCCCTCTACACGCCCTGGCCCTGCCCTCCCACCTCTGTCCCTCATTCTGCAGAATGTCTAATAGGCAACAGTATAGCGACAGAGCAAAGCCAGGCTGCAGGGTTTCAAGGCATGGCCCTGCCTTTTGTAAGCTGTCGATTTGGGTTAAGTTTCTTTTGAGGTAAGTTTCTTAATCTTCCCACCACCTAGTTCCTTAAGTAAAATGAAAGTAAGTTGTAGTAAGGCTTACGTTACTCCCTGAGAGTCACATGCTTAGGATTGACAGTAAGGGTTTTCCTTGTCTGTCTCCATGGTAACCAGGTCCCCTCTTCTTCTCTGGGCCTTGTTTGCATGAAACTTGACCAGAGCCCAGTGTACCCACTATGGCTCTGACTTTCAAGTGCCCCTTACCCACTGCTGCTGGAATAACTCCTGGGGGCCCCCGGGGCTTCACCTGGCTGGTAGGTGTGTTAGTAGTACACCACCCTTATCCACATACCTTATACCCAGTAGCTTAAGCCCTAGGAGTGACCAGGAAGAACCCCATTCACAGATTCCTGGGAAAAAATAGGACGGCTTTAGGCCTTGGCTTCAGGCAGTAGACAAATCCAAATTGGTATTTAACATAAGGGGATCTTGAACACTCCTGAAGTACATCACTTGGTTAAAGCAACTGTTCTCCCAGCAGAGGGCAGGTCTGCGCCCTCCCAGGAAGGACTGAACTTGTGACATTGTAGCCATGCAGAGCTGGCAAGGAGCTCCCCAAGATCCCTCGCTTTGTAATACCTCCAGGGGTCTCCTTGGCAGAGGAAAATGGCAGTGTAAGCCTGTGTCTCCTCGCACAAGGCTGGTGCTCGGACTTCTTGGTGCTGACTGTTGACCACACCAAATAGGCAGTGCTCACTTGTGACCATCCTGCTCTATCCCCAGGCGTGCTACGGGATCCTCAAAGTGCCCACGGGCAGCTGGCTGTGCCGGACATGTGCCCTGGGTGTCCAGCCAAAGTGCCTGCTCTGCCCCAAGCGTGGAGGAGCCTTGAAGCCCACCAGAAGCGGGACCAAGTGGGTGCACGTGAGCTGCGCTCTCTGGATTCCCGAGGTGGGCAGATATGGGGGTAGGACAGCCGGGGAAGGGGGTCTGCGTGCAGCTCAGGACTCAGCAGTCTTAGGAACAGAAGTGATGGCCCATGTTTAAAAGGGGCTCTCTCAGGTCATAGGCTTGGGAAGAACAGCAGCCACAGGAACATTTGCCTGTGCATCTGGGCAGAATCCAGGGGTGCACTCATGGGAAAATGGGTGCACTCATGGGAAAATGGGATTATGGAGCCCTCAGGGCTCCAGGGGATAGTCTGAGGGCTGGTCAGAAGTTGGGCAGCTGACTGCAGCAGAAAGCAGGTGGTGAGTTCATCCATACTGAGACAGTGGATCCAGTTGGAGCCAGACCACCTGCTCAACACAGAAATAGGCCAGATACCCCAAAAACAACAACAGAAATCAAAAGCCCTGTGGCATGAAAGGAAAACAGGAAAAAATAATAATAATTAATAAGAATTTAAACACACTAAAGGAAATCAGTCAACAAGCCGACTTCAGTGTTGGATGGCAGGCCTGCTGCTGGGACTGGGACGTTGTGGGGTGGGGGCCCTGGTCAAGGTGAGGGGGACAGTGGTTGGTGGACAAGGCTCGCAGTGAGTTAGAGGAGGCCCTGGGCTTCCATGAGGCATCTTGTTTTATTTGGAATGGGAAATGGAAAAATTCAGCAGAGTTTCAGCCCTGGTGCCGCTGTGTGTCCTGACTGAATGAAGCCCCACTGCACTGCTATCTGTGCCCGGTGGACTCCCCTTCCTGGACCGGAGGTCTGAAGGGTGTCGCAGCTCTGTGGTGAGGTGGTTGAATCAGCAACAATGGCTTCCTCCCACATTAACATTGAAGTCTGGGTCTCCCTGTAAGTATACCCTGTGCAGGGTAGAGCAGGGACAGAGAGAATTAATGGAGTACCACAGAGGTCCCTTGCTGTAGGACTCTGGACAAGGGGTCTTGTTCCATGGTCAGCCCAGGCTGAAGGGAGGCTCTTGGGTTTGAGCATGGTTGTGCTAGCACTGCTACCTGTCAGAGGGGAAGGAGAGGTTAAACAAAGCCCATCCGCATTGGCCTTAAAAGCCCTGGAAGTTGGGCACTCCCTGGTGGCGCAGCAGGTTAAAGCGCAGCCCTGCAAGCTAGCCACAGCTGCTTCAGTGCAAGTTCAATCCCGACCGCAGAGGTGACCCACATGGCGGGCAGACCTGTCCTGACCCGCCCGCTGCTCCCCTCAGCAGTGTACCTGCCTCAGCAGAACCTGCCTGTTCTGCTCCCAGCTCTGTGTCTGGTGAATCCTCTCACCACCCCTGCACCTCTGGCCTGTACCCCAGTTCTGTATGCATAAATAAATAAATCTTTAAAAAAAAAAAAAACCTAGAAGCCCCTCAGGAGTGCTCCCTCAGGGCCTTTTCTTAGAGCCCATCAAAATAAATAGATACACACATACAGACAGACAGATTATAATAACAAGTGTGAAGATGTAATTAACAGAGGCCTGAGATACAGAAGGGAGGAGGACATCACATTCACCTGTCCATGTGCACACGTGCTCACACACAAAGTAGGCCACCCAACCCCAGCCACACCAGTGTGCCCCCCTGTTAGGTTACATGCTGTTGTGGGAGGAAGCAGCTGTCTCTGATGCAACCACATCATCACAGAAGCCTGCGTCGTGGTTCCCAGCAACAATCCCCCGACTTCGAACCTACACACAGTCGGTTCTGTGCGCTGGTGTGTGCCCTTGCACGTGTGTGTGCCCTTACACGTATGCAGTCAGACCAGTGCAGGCGGGCACACTCGGACACTCACCTCGTGGTCAGTTTGGGGTAGTCAGGGAAAACATGGCATTCAGGAACTCCCCCACTGCTCTGACTGCCCATACTGTGGTTTTGGTAGAAAGTGCCCCACCCTCTGCCCCCCATTTGGGGAAATCTCTGGAGCCAGGCCCCAGATGAGGGGCCTGATGGCAACTCCCTGTTTCCTGACCAGGTCAGCATCGGCTGCCCGGAGAAGATGGAGCCTATCACCAAGATCTCGCATATCCCGGCAAGCCGCTGGGCTCTGTCCTGTAGCCTCTGCAAGGAGTGCACTGGCACCTGCATCCAGGTACGTACATGGCCACTTCCCCTGTCTGGGGAGCCCATGCATGAGTCAGCTGATTTGCAGGGCTCATCTGGAGACAAGCAACTGCCACAACCCCTCCGCCATCCCCGTGGTGATGTAGAGAGCCACTGATGGGCCCAGCAGGCTGGGGTTGGGCCAGACCCTCCTGGGGGTGCCTTCCGCCATCCTGTTTCTCTGCGTGGGTGGCTAGCCTGGGGAGCTGAGGCTCCCACACTGGCAGTGCTGAGGACTTTGGCTTTCCACAGTAGCAGGTGACTGGACTTAATAAATAAATACATTCACCTCCCATTCCTGACATCAGACTTGACTTGGAGGAAGGATAGGGGTGGAACTTCTCCTCTAGCTAAGCAAATAGACTCTCATGACACTGAGCAGGGATGCTTAGTGGTTCCCAGATTCTAGTGTGCATCAGCTTTACCCAGGGAGCTTGCTAAATCAGCCAGGGCCAACCTGGAGTCTCTGCTGCCATGCTGGTCTCTGGGTGGGACTGAGAACCCACATTTCTAGCAGGTGATACTATGCTGCTTGGTCTCCAGGTTTGGGGTTGAGATCAGGCTCTCTGTCTCTCTGTAGGAACAGTCATCACTGCAAAGCCCACATGTGCCTCCTTCCCTGTGTGAGGCTAGCAGGGTGACTTGTGAGGACAACATAAGTGTTCTGTGGCAGTTGGTGGGTACGGCTGAGACAGTTATCAGCTGCCTGCAGTTGTCCGCAGCCTGGGAAGGAGGTGCAGGCCCTAGCTGCTTTGGAGAAGAGAAGGGGTTTTCAGTTGAGCCCCTCTTTCCAGAGGCCAGGACGAGGCACTTAGTTCCCATCCAGATAACTTTGTGACAGAGATGGCCGTGACCTATGAGCCTCTAACGTGGCGTCACTGTGCCTGCCCAGGGACGCTGCTTGTCTCCACTGGTTGTCCAGTCATCCAATTGTTGACTTCCCCATGGCTCTGTGGTTCTGAACCCCATCTCTTCCCCCACCCCCCCTCAGGATAGTGAGAGCCCATCTTGTTTATTTAGGGTCTCACCAACACTTTTACTTCTTGGGGGAACCCTGGGCCATGGTCCACCTTCTTCCCTCCCGTCAGAAAACCCTTCCTGCCTGACACCACCCTTCCCCTCCCTCCAGTGTTCCATGCCTTCCTGCGTCACGGCGTTCCACGTCACATGCGCCTTTGACCATGGCTTGGAAATGCGGACTATATTAGCAGACAACGACGAGGTCAAGTTCAAATCGTTCTGCCAAGAACACAGTGATGGGGGCCCCCGGGGTGAGCCCACGTCTGAACCCATGGAGCCCAGCCCAGCCGGTGAGGACCTAGAAAAGGTGACCCTACGCAAGCAGCGGCTGCAGCAGCTGGAGGAAGACTTCTATGAGCTGGTGGAGCCGGCCGAGGTGGCTGAGCGCCTGGACCTGGCGGAGGCGCTAGTCGACTTCATCTACCAGTACTGGAAGCTGAAGAGGAAAGCCAATGCCAATCAGCCGCTGCTGACCCCCAAGACTGATGAGGTGGACAACCTGGCCCAGCAGGAGCAGGACGTCCTCTACCGCCGCCTAAAGCTCTTCACACACCTGAGGCAGGACCTGGAGAGGGTGAGTACATGCTGGCCTCTGCCTGCCTGCGGGCATCCCATCCTCCTGCCCTGGAGCAGCCTTGGCTCATCGGGACTGTAAGGAGCTGCGGCCTCCAGGTTCCTGACAGACAGGGGTTGCTGTCCTTTGCGCAATAGGGAAAGCTTCTGCTCTTGCATCTCTGAGTCATGCTTGCCCCAGTCCTTTTGCAAGCCTGGTGAAGTTGGGGCCCTGCCAGGGTCATGAAGCTGGGGTTTATGAACTGTCGCCAAGAACTTGGGCTTCCAGTTCCTGGTGGCCTCTGGTCTCGACCTGGTTTCAACACAGGAACTTCTGCGTAGGTTTGGAGGCAGCCAAGGTAGTGGGTGTCCAAGGCGAGCTGGATTAACCCAATGAGACTGTCTAGGCCAGTGCAGGGAAAACAGGTGTGAATGTGCTGGACAGAGGAACAGCGTGAGCACAGGCACAGGGGTGAGGTCGGGGTCTGCGGGTGGTCTCAAGATCAGCAGCAGAGTGGAGTGGAAGCTTGGGGCTAGGTGAGTGGACCAAAGTGTGTTTGGAAGCTGCAGAAACAAGTAAGTTTATAGCGTCCTGGTAGGCTGCAGCCTCCCACACCCGAGAGGAAGAACCCCAGGCCTGCAGTGAGCTGGGCTGGCCTTGTGCTAGAGGTATGTGATCTTGGCTTAGTCTAGGGTGCTAGCTTGGAGGCTGAGAGAGATGAGAGGGGGGTGCAGGTGTCATGTTTTTGGGCTAGACTGTGGATGTTGAGGATCACTGAATTCCTTTCCTGGATCATGGAGGTGTCCCCCAAAATCTCCAGTCCCTCCCCCGCTTTTCCAGAAAGATAAAACACTCCTACCTTTGAATTTGGCTTTTCTTTTGCCTTGTAATCTCCAGTTGATAAAAAATACCTCCTAAATTGGAGGCAGTCTAAGGGCAAATAGTCTTTGGAGCCCCAGGTGCTGTTTTGGGCACCTCTCTGGGACACTGGGCTCTAGGACTTCGTGTCCCAGAGGGACAGGTACAGGAACACATGCCACCTTCTCTCCAGGTGGTGCTAGGGTGCAACCCAATTGGAAGCCTCTGGGAACTTTTGTATGACCAGAAGCCGCTGCTTTTTCAATTTCTGTGCAACTGGGCTGGCAAATCTGCAAAATGGGTAGGACAGTTTGTTTGGCAGGTGCTGCACGTCTGTGACGGGGGGGGGGGGGAACCTGGGGTGTGGCCCAGCGCCACTGCTCTTCTTCCTCCCACTACCTGTCCTGAGGCCTGGTCAGGGGAACAATTCTGCTGGTCTTGGAAGGAGCTAAGGGCCTGGCAGCCAGCCAGCCTCTTGTTAGAAGAGAGAGGAGAGGACCACCTCCTGGTCAGTCAGACTTATGCAGACTCGTGCACGTGTGGCAGAGGCATCAGGTGCAAACTCTTTGGAGAACAAGGTGTCCAAGGTTTCCGGAGCAAACATACGCTGTTTACTCCTGTTTCCAAATAGCACAGTAGTTCTAACCTCTCTGGTCTGGGCTCGTCAGCCCATAAGTCTGACCCTGGTGCATCTGAGTAGGGAAGCCAAGAGCGGGTCACTTATTAAATCTTCCTGAGAAAAGCTACTCCCAACCCTAATGAGCAGATGAGGCGCATATAAGGATCTGAGGAGAATTGGAACCTAAATAGAGGAAGGGGTTTGTCAGAGAGGATGGCTTATTATGAATCATGTGCTTCCCAGTAAAATCATCTGCTGAACAGGCCTTCAGCCTCTCAGCCCTTGTTGACACGTGCAAGTGAAGCCAGGAGCTGAGGCAGGCTTGTGTTTCCAGGTACCTAGCCTGCCTCCAGTCCCGTCTGCTCGAGTCACAGATCTTCCAAAGTCAGGAGTGAACCAACCCTCTCCTCCAGGAAGAGTCAGGGACAGCTTGAATTCTGCACAGCTTCTTAGAGGAGTGAGGAGGCCCTGGTTCAAACACTACCTTGCTTCTCCAGCAGCCCCTGAGTTGGACTAGCGGCACCAGCTGAGAACAGGCAAGGGTGTGTGCACAGCACTGACAGGCTACACAGAGGAAAGTCAGAGACAGCTGGGACCAGGTTGACCCCCACTGGGTCCAGCCTGGGGGCCTTTCATGGCCACATGTTGGTGATTTCAGTGAGTGAACTGAACTAGGCTGAGAGCTATGGCATTGGGGAGGCTTTTTGCAAAGGCTTGTGACTGTTGGTGGCCTGGCCAGTGAGCCCAGGTTCTGACCGAGGCCCAGTGCCAGTGGCTGCAACTGTCCAGACCATTTGGGCTGTCTGCATAGGGAAGGCGGGACAGGGCTGGAGATTGAGATCTTGGATATCTCATGAGGTCTTATGTCTAGCATTTCCCATCTCTGAGTTTCCGCTTCCTGTTCTGTAAAACAGGAATAAGGCTCAAGGGGACCCTAAGGTCACAGTGAAGATGAGGTATAGCTCTTGCACAATTGTGGCTGTTACTGCTGCCCTGGCCCCACAAACAGTCTGGCTCTGAGAAGCGCGGGCTGCCCAGAGGCTGGGCTCCGTGGGAGCGAGGGGCGAGGGCCCGGGAATCACAAGGTATCCTCCCTGCTTGCTTTTTCCCCCCAGGCCAGTCAAGGGTTTTGCTGAGAGAAGCAGGAGCTGGGTCCCTGCTCCCACCACCAGCATGAAATCCTATTTTATGGTTGGCCTGGATGTGCTTTCCTAGAATTTCAGCCGCCGGCCTGGGTCCTGGCAGGCAGCTCAGGAAAGCATGGCCACTGCAGCCTCCCAGAGTAATTCACAGCTGACAAAAAAATTGCAGCATTGACATCAGCCTGACAAATGCCGGCTGGTGTCCCCTAGCAACCGGGCTGGCTGCTTGGGCTGCACGGGGGCCTCGCTGCCTATGGCTCTGGATCTGGTTACCAGGAGGTTATTTGAGAACCTTACTCCATCTGAGAAAGGGGGTCTGAGAGGTGCCGAGAGGGTGGGGGCCACTAGCAGACACACGCCCAGTGGATCGGCCAGTGCTCCTTTCCCATAGCTCTCCGAGGCAGGAGAGGAAGCGCCTGCCCTCCCCCACACTTGCCACCTGCTTCCTGGTCACACCTCATTAACTCGGTCCACAGTGTCTGGATTGTGGTCTCTTTGGCCTCCCACCAAAGCCCACCTTGTCCTGGGCAGCCTTGGCCTCTGGAGCTCTGGTCCCTCAATTCCCCTGTGCCCCTTCCCTAGGGTTTTTCCACCCCATTAGTGCCCCTACCTCCCTCAAAGCCACTTACTGCCTTGAAATACTCCCTGGTCAGGCACCCCAAGTCCCTCTTTTGTTTTTGTAAAAATGCATTTATTTATGCATAGAAGAGCTGACGTACAGGCCAGAGGTGCAGGGAGTGAGAGGATTCACCAGAGACAGAGTTAGGGAACAGTGCAGATGGATCTACTCAAATACACTGCTGAGGGGAGCAGCGGGCAGGTCAGGAGAGGTCTGCTGCTGCGCCATGTGGGTCAGCTCCCTGGCCGGGGATGGAATTTATACTGCAGTGGCTACCGGGATGGAACTTATACTGCAGTGGCTACCGTTTGCTTCACTGTGCTGAGACTTAACCCTTTGTGCTAGCCGGTGGGGGGCTGAGGGGGGGTCTGCATCTCTCTTTAACTATGGCTGCTGTTTGCCCTGCTTAGTTCCTCCCAGGCTCCCTCCCTCCAACTGTTCCCCAGCCCTTCACTGCTGCCCCTGCTCAGCATTAGGTCACTGCCCCTGCCCTTGCCAAAAGCCACTTGTGGAACTTTTCCCAGGGGTACCAGGGTATCCAGGGGCTGTCAAACCCACCAGGAGCTACCCCATAGAGTGAGCCAGTGAGGCCCCTGCAGGACAACGGCAGCCTTCTGGGCTCCCCTGCACTCTACTCCTGCCCTCCCTCAGGGTTCCCCTTACCTTAGCAGATCACGCCCCCTCTGTTCCTCTGACCAGAATCCTCCAGCTGTTGCCAGCAGTGCCCTCTGTCCTTATTCTTCTCTTTCCTCTCATCTCCCTACCAGACATCTAGGCACACGTGCAGTATGGGGAAGTCTGTCTAGTCTCCTTCCCCACCTCCTGCGCCAGGATAGTGCGAGCATTTGAAATGCTTCCCCATCTCCCATGCCCTCCCGATCCATGTCTCGCCAGTCGTGGGCATTTTCCACCCAGCCCCCCAGCTCGTCCCCATTTCTGCCTGTCATCCTACGAGAGAAGCAGGACTTGGCCCCTTGTACCTACCAACTGCCCTCCCCCTGCCCTACTCAGGCCATCACCATATTCTAGAATCTCCCGCTAGGGCCACCATCTTCCTATCTCCAGGGCCATTTCTCTGTTGTGTTCAACCTCCCAGCAGTTCCCTCTAGTCACACTTTTTCTGTGGTGGCCAGACCAGGTCCTCCTGGAGTACTCCAGCTAAGCTTCCCTCGGAGTGCTCCCTGGTCCCTGTTGGCCGACTCAGTGCTGCAGCACCTGCTGCCCACCGGGAGGCTCCAGCCGACTCCTCCCACAGCCTTGCCAGTCTCCACACGTGTCTTCCCCGCTGCGGCCCTCACCTTGTCGCCAGGTGATCGCTACAAAACTCGGGACAAGGGAGCCCTGCTGATGTTACCAGTCCCTGGCCTAGTTTGAGCACTTTTCCATTTGATTCATATTTGTATTCTGACTTTTATTTATTTATTTATTTTTAAAGATTTATTTATTTGTGCATACAGAACTGGGGTACAGGCCAGAGGCTCAGGTGCTGTGAGAGGCTTCACCAGAGACAGAGTGGGGAGCAGAACAGGCAGATCGATGAAGTACACTGCTGAGGGGAGCAGCTGGTGGGTCAGGAGAGGTCTGCCGCCCCATGTGGTCACCTCCGGGGCAGGCGGGGATCGAACTCATGAGGAAGTGGCTTTAGCTTCTTAGTGCTGTGCTTTAACCCGCTGCGCCACCAGGGAGGGCCACTGACTTATTTTTAAAGAAATCATTCTATCTTTATAATCAGAGAAAAGACAGAGTAATAACAATGTAAGGTGCCTAATTGCCTGGGCCAGCTCTTCTAAAGTGCTATCAATACTTTGTCCCACAAGACCCTCCCGGAAGCAGAATTCTACATGATTTGGTAGCATGTGGCAGTGTGACCAAGTGTGATAGGGGAAATTAGAGAAGTAGTTGTCGGTTCCAATGCCAGGTGGGGAGAGGGGTCACAGTGCCACTAGTATAACTACACAAGAATGCTGGCATCATTGGGGGCCTCACAAAAGGCAGCGTCCCTACTTCTTGGGCAGGATATCCTCACATGTGTACCCTTGTGGGAAAAAGCCGAGCATTTTAAATGCAGTTGAACATACTGCTTTTTTAATATCCCGTGTTTATCACTGTGTATTATAAAATAAACATAATCAGAATCTCTGATGTTCATCAACAACCACGGATACCACTAGAAATTCTTCCTATACTTTGGGCTTTGGAACCCTGCAGCTGTTGCAGTTGCTTTTAGACCCCTGGCCAAGGGGCAAGATTCCCCAGCTCAACAGTACTATGTAAAATGTGTGTTTGCGATTGCTCAGCCCGGAAGCCCGCTTTTCCCCTGAGCCTGGGAATCTGTGTTTTTAGGCAGCCACCCTAGGGATCTTGATGCCAGCGATTCGTTTGTGCATGGCTTGAAAAACTGCTCCAGAATTTCAGTTGGCAGACATCCCCCACATCACAATCCCCAAAAAAATCCTGAGCGTGCATTATAATAGGAAGTAATTAAACACGATTCTTTTGGGAAGAAATCTTTAACTCTGAGTCTCATCTTAACCTGGCTTCTCACCTTCAGAGGTTAAGTTTAAGGGCTGAATAAATTCTAGGAGAGAATATTGAGATTCTTTAGAAGCAGGGCCTTGACAAGACTATTTAAGTTGGAAACATTGACTGGTTTGTTTTGAATCCTCTAAAACGGCCATGAATCCGCCCATCTCTCTTCATCCCTTCTGTCCCCATGTTCGGCCATGTCGTGGCTGGAAGAACAAAAGCCAAGGTACAGGGACAGTGATGCTATGTTACCTGGATGTGGCAGACAGGGAAGGCCTCTGGGGCCAAGGCAGGAGGGGCTGGACACCGGCACAGGGTGCTGAGGGCAGGACGAGTTGGCTCTGAGGTGGCATGAGAGGCCGAAGCGCACTGGACCGTGGCTCAGGTTTTTTAAGTGTGATGGGAAGGAAGCAATATTTATTTCCTAGTACTACATATATAGCCACATACTTAATGACTTTAAACAACAGAAATGTGTCTTCTCGGCTCTAGAAGCCAGAGTCCAAGATGAAAGTGTTGGCAAGGGTGCTGCTTCCTCGAGGCTGCAAAGGACAACCTGGCCCAGCCTCTGTCCTAGCTTCTGGGGAAGGCTGGCAGCTCCTGGCTCACAGGCCCAACTCCTGTCTCTGCCTCTGTCTGCACATGGCATTTTCTTGGTGTCAGCACTTGGCCTGGGAGCACCCTATGCTTGGATTTAGTACTTTTCACAGCCAGTGTGACCTCATCCTAATTACACCTGAGGTTCTAGTTGGATATAGGTCCTTTTTGAACAGGTTGGAAGCCATCGAATGTTTTAAGGGAAAAAGAATTTACATTTATACTTCAGGAAAGGGTGTTCTGAGATAACAGGGTCAGAATATCTGGTCGTCCAGGTGAAGATGGTGGGGTGACTGGGAGGTGAAGGGAGCCAATGGGAAGGACTGATGGACCATTCTAGTGGATCAGTTATGGGGCCTCATGACAAAGTAGGTGCAAAGGATGACTCCCAGATCTTAATACTTAAACACATCCTACCCCACTAACCCATTCCTCAGTCCCTCCCCCTTGACCTGGTCTTACTCTGGGTCCTGTGGTCTACTCCCTCCTGGCCTTGCTGCCCTTTTCTGCAGAAAGTCTTTGTCAGCATCCCCAAGTCTGGGTCAGGCCAGGGCTGCCTGGTCCTGTCGGCATATGTCAGTGTCTATCAGTGAGCCCTGAGAAGAAAGGGATCCCGTGATGTTGCTCACAGCTGAGCCCACCGTCCCACCCAGAATATATTCACAGAGCCACAATCCCTGTGCTTCAGGACGCGTGGAAGGAGACTGGCTGGAGGGAGTCAAAAGAAGTCTGGCAGTGCTGGCACACAAAGACTCAGGCCTGGGTGGTGTTGGCCCCAGGGTGGCCTGGTGTCCAGGGTGGAATGCCACTGAGAGTTCATGCAGAGCCATCCTGTGAGACCTGGCACTAGGCAGAGTTCTGAGAACTTCTTCAGCATTTACCTCAGGAAAGAAAGGAGGATGCCCATGCCTGCAAGAATTCTGTTCACCACTTACCCCAGCTCGAAGAAATGGTATTTAAAGCAACATGTGGGGACTCTAGAACCCACAAGCTGACCCCAAGCAGCCTAAGGACATGAAGAGTGAACTCTGCCTTGAAGTGGAACCCAGCGAGACTCAGCGGTACTAGCCTCGGCTGGAAAGACCTGATGAGACCTGATGATCCAGTCAGTTGCTCCTGGCCAACTGTCCCTGCTGCTAGAGGCTCCCACCTGAGCTGAAGATGGTGGGGGAACATGGAAGTGTTTGAGGGAGAGAGCCTGGTCTTGCATCCTACAAGCATGATGCACCCTGAAAGCTGCTGGACTGGGAAGATGCCGTTACGACAGGAAACATGGTCATCTGGGTCTTCCAGACCAGATGCACGGGCTGAGCAAACTGGTCTCCATGGCCCTCAGAAGCACTTCCTAGCCATCCTAGGGGAGTTCCAGGACCTGCTGCGGAGTTCTGTCTGCCTGAGTGAATGTAACTGAGAATCTGGGGGTCTTGACCAAAGCAGGCTTGTCTTGGCTCGGGTCCCAGTGCAGTGTACAGATAGGGGTTCAGCCAGTGTGGACCCAGGTAGTCAGGTACTGCCTGTCTGCTCGAAGCTGTTGTTCTGGGGTAATGTTTGCTCCATTACCATGGGCGTTCATGGCTCAGGAGAGGAGTTGGTTTTTTGCCATGGCGCCTGTGGCTGAAGAGTGTCTTTGATGGGGAAGAGCCTTGGACGGGGGTAGAGGCACAGACTTAGTGTCCTCATGCGGCCCTGTAGGTCCTTGTATGTAGGGGAGAGCAGCCACATTGAAAGGACCTGGGAGGCAGCAAGGCTGCTTGGCCAGGAAGTTAATATGGAGTCACTGGCCTGAGTTAGCCAGCTGGTCTCCCTGCTCACTGGCCCTCCAGGGGCTGCAGTGCAAGGCTGTGCTTGGCCTCATGTTTTGGCTCAGAGAATTCTGACTGAGGGCTGAGGACACTTTCAGGACCTGGGAATTGATTCCTGGATGTGCTGGGCAGGTTAGGCTGTAGTAGCCTTGGGGGCCTCTGCCCAGGCGCTGTCTTCACCATCAGCATGATTCCCCAGAGCTGGGAAGTCAGGGGTGGTTCTCTGTGAGTAAGGTGGAAAATCTCTCTTGTGTTTCCTCAGGTTAGAAATCTGTGCTGCATGGTGACAAGGCGCGAGAGAACGAAACACGCCATCTGCAAACTCCAGGAGCAGATATTCCACCTGCAGATGAAACTTATTGAACAGGATCTGTGTCGAGGTAGGCGCTTCCCTGCCGCCGCCGCCAGCCACCTCTCAGTTACACACTTGTGGGGCTGGGCCTCAAGGAGGGTATGTCTTTGGGGCCCGATGGGGGCATGTGTCTGGGGCCAGGGGCCACTGGCCCCCCCCCCCCATCGTTTGGCTAGTTGGTCAAGATGGGAATGTCCCAGCGCCCTGGTTTTTTGTGGTTAGGCAGGAAGCCAGAGATGGGGATTTGGGCATCTCATGCCCTCAGAGAGCTTTCTGGTTTATGGGGGCATTCAAAGAGTGCCAGAATGACAGCACTTCAGGTGTAAGTAGCATGTGATCTGGTGCAGACAGAAGTCCTGGTGGCTCCCTGCTGTTATAGTGCATCCTCAAGCTGACATCATCCATAGGCTCTTGGACACCAGCAGAACGACGTACCGTGAAACCAGGCCCTAGGACATCGTTCCAATATCACCTGAGTTTTTGTTGTTGGCTTTTTGCTTTTTTCATCAAATTTATAACAAAACAGCACTGAGCAAAACAATCAAGAACCTGAGGCAGGAAAGGCCTGAAACTGGCAGGTTTCCCTAACCCTGTGTTGCTGTGCGCTGATCCTAAAGAAGAAGGCTGCTACACCAGTGACGAAAGGGGACCCAGTGCGTTCTTCTGTCTGGCAGGATTCAGGCCATTTTTCCTTTCTTCTCTTGCCATCACACGCACTCAGCATTATCTGGAAATCAAAGGAAGCTCTGAAGTTGCTCTTCCCTGCCAGTTGTGAAGTTGTTATTGGACACAGGACCATCTTCTAAGTGTTAATATGTGAGGATCGCAGCACTTAACCCCCAAAAGGGACTGTTGATTTACGTGCAGCAGAAAGAGATATATGGAGAGAGATTTTGAGCTGGAGGTCTCCTCTGGCAGCTCTTCCCCTCTGTTCCGAGCCAGGCTGGGCCTGGAGTGTACAGGAAGGACAGCTGCCAGGCCATGATGGAAGGAGGGTGCCCTGGGGCCCTGGTTCTGCCCCAGGACCCAGCTACCTTCTTTGAGATCTCTGGTCCCAGAAAGCAGCACTCCAAGTACAAGTCCTGGATCAGTGGGTCACAGCCATGCAGAGGTCTGAGCTCACTGTGCACCCCAAGACTGTGGCAATTTCTGGCAGCGAGAGCTTGTCAGACCCTCTCTCACCTGTTGATTTGCACAGTGATCAGTGCCCTCAAGGAGTTCACCATCTGATTTGGAAAGACAAGGGGAGTCTAAGGGGCTACAGTAGGTAGTAGGTGCCCGTTCAAGGGAAGGTACCACAGATGGCATCCTGGTGGTGTTGATTTTGGAGCTGAGACAGGCTTCCTAGCACCTCATGTGGCCATGCCTCTGGCTGCGGAAGAGGCCCACAGTCAAGGCAGCAGAGTGGCAAGGCCCAGAGTGCCCACAGGCTCAGGATCCCAAAAACTTGGTCAAGTTCTTGGTGGTCCATGGGCCCCACATTAAGTCTGGGGACATGTGGCACCACCTGGGTGGCAGCTCCAGCGGCCCTTTGTTCAGTTCAGGGCACTTGGAGAGATGCATTGTTTGCTTCTGCTTGAAGCTGATCTCCTCAGAGTTGTGATGCATGATCCCTGGGGTGAGACTTGTGTTATGAGCATAATTCTGTCTGGCCTGAGGACTGAAACAGGTGAAGGACAGGACAAGGAAACAGCATATTTAGAGACCTAGAGACCAGAGCTTGTTTTGTTAGAGAAGCTGGAAGGTCATTGGTACAGCTGCACGAGAGCAGAAGGGAGTCTTAATGATGCTGAGGAGGGGGAGGGTCTGATATTCAGGCTGCGGAAAGAACCCAGACCAGTCCAAGGGCAGTGATGATCACAAACCCCCTCCAGAGTATCTAGGCAGTGTCCGCATGTACAGATGAGGAGATGCTGCCTGGCCTGAGGTTGCAGGAAGAGTGAACAGCAGAACCGGAAGATAACGGAAACTAACCACAATCCGCAACCTTTCCTTAAACCCTTGTTCCGGAAGCCCCAAGCTTCCTCCAAGCCCTAGTTTTTCACTTAGGATGTGGGAAAAGATTCTTGGCAGCTGGAACTCCCCCACTACACGTCCCTCTTCTGCTCCTATGGCTCCCTACATGGTGGTCATGCACTGAAAGCAAATGAGGCCAGGTGTGTAGCCAGTCTTCCCATCTGCTGTCTGGTCCTGAAAGCAGGACAGGAAGCCTGTTTAAAAGGACTGAGTGCCGTGTCAGGCATGGAGTACAAGCCTCTTGACACCTCAGGTGGTGTGCTTTCCACCTTCATGTAGACCTCTTTGGGCTGGAATTCAAAGCCCTGCCTTATGTACTCACCCTCAGGTGGTGTCCTACCCGCCACCTGCCTTACAGAGCAGACGGCGATTTGGTCCTGGGACATGGTCCTCATCCTCCACATCGCCTTCTACCCTCCTAAGCTCTTCCAGGGCAGCAGTGGGCACGTACTCCATAGTTGTCCACAGTGACTGTTCTTGATCCACTGGTGCCTCACTTACCCTAAGCCCTCCTCACCAGCTCTGAGCCTGGCGGCTGAGGTCCTTGGGTGGTGAGGGAGTCCTGGGGTGACATGTGGTGATCTTTGGTTCTGGCTGAGGCTGCACTGATAACCAGCTACCTCCTGCTTCTCTCTTTCTGTGACACAGAACGATCTGGAAGGAGAGCAAAGGGCAAGAAGAGCGACTCAAAAAGGAAAGGTCGCGAGGGCCCGAAAGGCAGTCCTGAGAAGAAAGAGAAAGTGAAGGCGGGACCAGACTCGGTCCTGGGGCAGCTGGGTGAGTGACCAGGACATGTGAAGCCCTCCATGTAGGACTAGCAGGGTCCACCTGTGCTTCCTTCTGCATAGGTCACACCCAAGTGTGACCAGGCCCAGATAGTGACCATAAAGTAGGCTAAGGTCTCAGAGCCCCATCTGGCGTCTGGAGAAACTCCTGTATAGACCTGGAAGCTGGGCTCAGAGCTCAGGAACTATTCGTCATTCTCCTGACCAAGATCCTGGAGGCTAGATTTTCCCAGAGGCCCTCAACAGACCCCTAGGCCATCTGGGCCTTTCTAGGAACCCAGACCCATGCTGAGAGGTAAGGGTCTGTCAATTCTTTCTTGTCCCATTTGGGAGTTTTCTCAAATGGGCAGGGAATCTTTCTGAAGCCATCTAGAAGGATCCAAAAGAATGACCACAGGCTCTGGCGAGTCTGTCTTCACCATCACAGACCTGTGTACTGCCACTGCAGTAAGCAGAGCAATACTTGGGGGCCCAGAGCTCAGGGCCCCCCATCTCCCAGGATGTCACATGTCCTCTCGAGTGTTTCTCAAGGACTGGTAGATTCCCCCTTTCAGACCTCCCCTCTGGCACAGCAGCCCCAGGTCATCCTTTACTGAGAGAAGAGGTCAGAGTCGAGTGGGTAATGGGAGACCCCGTCCTGCCAGCTGTCCCCTCCACAGTCACCTGTAGAGGAGCTGAGCTGATCCTGACAGCCAAGGGAAGGACTTTCTACCCAGTAGTACTTTGCTGCCAGTGCCTGACTGACTCCTTACTTTGCAGGCTCTGCTCATAAAAACCCAGCGCCCCCTGGTGGCTAAGGGCGATTTCCTCCATTCTCCATACCCTTGGAACCTAGGCTTGGGGTGGTGGGCAGGGCCAGCTTCTGCACCCATGCAGGCTCAAGACCTCCACGGTTCAATATTCTACTGTTGCCTCTTTGACATTCTCAACAGGGAGGCCACATTTTCAGCTTGTGCTCTGCTCCACAAACTAGGAAGCCATTTTCAGGAAAGGACATTCTTCTAGGGAGAGGGACAAGTGGTGTGGCCTCCACTCTTAGGTGATATGGGCAGGAGGACTGGACAAAACAACATAACCTCAAGTGGGCCTAACACAGAGGGAGAGTGGGAGGAAATGGCATTCTTTGTTCTGTTGGGGGGAGCTTCCTCAGAGGGCTGGGCACACCTGCTGGCATCTCACCTGCTTCCTCTGCCTTCTTCCAGGCCTGTCCACGTCCTTCCCCATCGATGGCACCTTCTTCAACAGCTGGCTGGCACAGTCTGTGCAGATCACAGCGGAGAACATGGCCATGAGTGAGTGGTCCCTGAACAATGGGCACCGTGAGGACCCTACTCCGGGGCTGCTTTCGGAGGAGCTGCTACAAGACGAGGAGACGCTGCTGAGCTTCATGCGGGACCCCTCACTGCGACCTGGTGACCCTGCCAGGAAGGCCCGAGGCCGTACCCGCCTGCCAGCCAAGAAGAAACCACCCCAGGAAGGGCCCGGTTCACGGACGACTCCAGACAAACCCCCCAAGAAACCCTGGAGCCAGGATGCAGGCAGCGGCAAGGGGGGTCAAGGGCCACCTGCCAGGAAACCACCACGGCGAACACCGTCTCACCTGCTCTCCAGTCCTACAGCTGGGGACTGCCCCATCCCAGTTACTCCCGAGAGCCCCCCACCCCTGGCCCCTGAGACCCTGGACGAGGCAACCCCAGTGACAGCCGACTTGAACGTCCAAGTGCCTGGCCCGACGGCGAGCCCCAAGCCCTCAGGCCGGCTCCGACTGCCTCGAGAGAGCAAGGGAACCCGGAGGTCGCCGGGCACCAGGCCTGATGCTGGGACAGGACCGCCTCCTGCTGTGGCTGAGAGACCAAAGGTCAGCCTGCACTTTGACAACGAGACTGATGGCTACTTCTCTGATGGGGAGATGAGCGACTCAGACGTGGAGGCCGAGGACAGCGGGGTACAGCGGGGTCCCCGGGAAGCAGGGGCTGAGGAGGTGGTCCGCATGGGGGTTCTAGCCTCCTAAGTCGCTCCTACCCCTGTCCCGGGCCCTGCCCTGGTTCCCCCACAAGGCCTCAGCCCAGTCACAACTGCCATTTCCAATCTTTGCTGAGTGTCGCAGACCCTCGAGGCTGCCACTCTGTTGTGGTTTTATTTTTAATATAGAGAGAGTTTTGAATTCCACACTGTTGTCTTTCCTCTGTGCTGGCCTAGGACATTAGGATTCCTTCCACGGCTCTGGCCACAAGGACCACGCCAGGTCCTGTGCAGCCTCCCCACCGAGGCAGCACCCCTGCCCCGGCCCACGTGGCGTCACTGGGCTCCTGGCGAGGTGAAGGAGCGCTCAGGACTCCAGCCCGCTGCCACTGGGTGACACCGACTGTCGTTAGGGCATTATTTCATGGCAGATGGGCCAGCCCAGGGCCTGCCCCGCCTTGCCCAAGTCCCACTGGGGTCCATTTGGGGGGTCCTGCTGCACTCCACTGATCCCCAAGGAAGTATACATAATAAGTGACACCCAGCCAGAGTCTACTCACTGTCACAAGCACAACGAGCTTATCCGAGAAAGCACTGAGGGGGCGCCGAGGGCCCGCCGGTTCCAGGGGAACCTCAGCGGTTGCTGATAACCCACATCATCCGAGGCCTGCCTGCCTACCCCGCGCCCCTCCACTCCCTTGCTGCTCCTCCCCTGCCAGCGCCCAGCCCGGCGGCTCTGGAAAGGGGTTCCCAGAATCCTTCCTGAGCTGTGCCATTTACTCAGGGGACTCCCAAACAGCCAGCCGCCAGTGCCAGCGGAGGGCTGCAAGGGAGGGCCAGTGCCCAGACAGGGGCGTGGGGCTCAAACTCGCCCACTGCAGAGAATCACTCTGGGGCTCCAACTTCCTTCCTTCGGGGCCAGTCTTGGCCAAAGTCTGGTCACTTCCCGACAGCTGACCAGGCCAGACCGTTTGCCTTTTCAAGTTTCCCAGTCCTGCAAAGAGATGAGCTTCTTCCTCGGTTTCCTTTTGGAAACTCCTCCTTCCAACAAGCAGTGGGATCCCGGGGCCCAGAGTGGGCCAGCAGTAGCCTGCTGGGGCTGTTCTAAGTCTTGCTGGATGTTCCTGGTTCCTTAGTCCCTTCAAGCCTTAACCCCTTTCCCAGCTACGACACTCCCTTCCCCTCCCCCTTCCATCCTGTCTTTCCCTGCACCTCCCATCTCACCCCCCAGGTCCCAGATAGTTGCTCTGAAAAGTTTGAGTGGAGTGGCCCCAGGGTGATAGCTCAGGGAACAAACAAAAAGGAATTCAGTGAAAGCGTTTTTTTTTTTTGTTTTGTTTTTGTTTCTTCTTTTTTCTTTTATAAATTACTCCTGGGTCACTTCCGCCACTGGTCATGCCAGAACTTCTCCAACAAGAACCTTGCAAAAGTCCAGTGTATCAGTCGAATCATTCTATGGATGCCAAAGAATATTTTGACCATAATACAGCACAGCCTGGACCTGACAACTTGTCGCTTGGACTTTTCTTCATGGAGTTCTTTAGCAACAAAGTCTAGAAAAACGTCTGTTGCGCACACCCACGGAGCGATCCCAAAGCTCTCGAAAGAGAAGGCTGTCCTGTTGCTGAGCTGTTGGGACTGGGAACCGGGCGTTGGATTTCAGATTCTGGGCTGGGCCCCCTGTGAGCTCTCCTGGACTCTGAGACTCACAGGGGGACGAACACTGACAGCGAAACCAGCGCGGCAAAGTCTTGACCCTGTGATTCCCCCCATGAAGACACAAAGCGCAAGTAAGAGGGATGGGGTGCAACTCGACACACCCCTCCAACTGACTCCAGCAAAACTTTCAAGGTACGACAGTGGCGTTGTCATCAACACTTGGTTTCATGTGAATCTTAGCAAAACAGGAAACAAAGATAATGGCTGAGTTCCAAGGATCGGACAGATGTGTCCAGTCAGAGTGGACTTGGCCTGGGTTTCAAGGATTCTGGGCGTTGGGATGGCCTGAGCCACGTGCAGAGCTCAGTCCGGCTGCCCGCCTTAGTAGCAGTGGCCTGTGCAGCGGCAGCGTCCCGACCCCACTCTATTTACTGCCTTGAACAGACCTTCCTTCTCCATGCTTCAGGTCACTTCGGGTCACACAACCCTTATATGCTGGATCACCCGGTCTGACCTCACTGGGAGAGGGGACAAAGGGATGAGCTTAAAGAACAACCAACTCTGCTGGGGATGGGGTGGGGAGGGAAGTGCTGGGTGTTGGCTCAGCTCCCCTAGTTGGGGCACTGGCCCCTTTACCCCTTCATCCAACTTGAGGCAGAATCTGGGCCCCATAGGGGTAGGAGTGGGGCAAGAAACCAGGGAGAAGTGGGTTTGCCCAGGGTTTGGACCAGGCAGACTCAACGGGTAGCCAGCGCTCCTCGGGCCTCTGGTGGCTCACGTGGCCTCTGGCTTCCCGCCATTCTCTCAATCAGCTCTTGCTAAGGACCAGGCTGTGCCTGGGGCCTGTGTCCAGCATGGAGCTCAGGTGTTCATTAGTCTAGCTGGCTTTGGCCCCATCACTTCCAGGCCAGGCTCCAGCATTGTCCTCACCAGCAGCTGTCCACCTCCAGGATGTCCACCCAGCAGACTGCAAGGAGGACAAGGATGCCGGTTCCTGCCGCTGTCCTTCCCCCATTAGCCACAGTCCCTTCATTCCCTTTCTTGCCTACTGTCCACCTCTAAGATTAAGGCAAGAGGCAGGGGAAAAGATAGATGACCTTTTTCAGGCCAGACAGAGGCCGACCTTTCACTTGACCCCATCTTCCCACACTCACTGCCCCTCCTTTGGGAGGGAGAAGCTGCTCTGTAATTCATTCTGGTTGTCACCACCATTCTCTCAATCCTGACTGCCCATCACCTCCTCCCTTCATCACAGTGAGAAAGGATAATGTGCAAGGATAGTATTTTTATGGATTGTAAATGTATTTTAAGACAAATAAGGATAAGAGAGGTAGAGGGTTTATTTTACTAAATGAGCTCCAGCTCTGTGACAGTGTATAAGCATTTGCTGTGGAAGGCTCTCGGTTTCTTGGAGAAGCCACCCAGGTTTCCAGGCACGGGTGTTGCACTGTGGATGTGTGGTGTGTGCCAGGGCACGTCTCGTGTCCCCGTGCATGCATGTTTGTGTGTGTTGTGTATGGGCACGCTACGGGACTTGCTGGGGCAATTCCTAGAGAATTAACTGCCCAATTCTAACCAACTTTGGCAGCAGCTGGACTTGGCATTTCCTTGCCCACAGCCAGATGTGGCCAACCTCTGTCCAGCCTGAAGCTCTGCAGAATGGTCTGGATGTCTGTAGCCAAGCTGTCAGGGAGGCCACTTGCCATGCCCCTGGCCCAGCTGGCCACATTGGCCAAAGAGCCAGGGTTGGAGTCTGGGAGCTTTGGTTGTTCTTTAAGGCGCTTCCTGCCACCTAGTCCCTCAGACGCACAGCACTCTGTGCTCCACATCGGCTCGGGGTGGGGGGATGATATGAATGTCACAGGAGGAGACACCTTCTGTCTTTGTTTCAAAGAAAGTGATGTGCCATTTGTTAATATACAAGAGAAATATTGAAAATATATTGAAAAGAGCAATTTTAAATTATTTTTGGCTTATGTTGCAATATTTATTTTCTTGTATTAGAAAGATTCCTTTGTAGAGAAAAAATGTATTTTTCATTAACGCAAAGACCTATTTCTCCTTTTTGTACATTGTCCATGTTCGCTACCCTTAACAAGCAATAGAATGTATGGCCTCTTGGTGTGGCCAGTGCCCGCTGTGCCCTGCATGATTCTGTGTTGCCACTGCTGCGTAGCTCCCAGTCCCATCCTGTCCTGCTCACTCATGGGGGTTCCAAGAACCCGGCCCCTATCAGGGCCTGTGTCTTAAGGAGCCCTTTACTCCTCGTGTGTTGGCAAACGCAGTTAATAAAGCAATGTTTTCTGTGCTGGCTGGCCTGAGATTGTTGTGTTGAATGGGGTAGGAGTTCGGGGTTCTCCTCTGTACACACCCAACTGTGGGTTCCATGAAATAGCGAGTCTCCTGGCTAGCCCAAGGAAACTGCTGTTACCACCTAGAAGCCTTAGGGGGCTGTGCTTTGGGGCAGGATTGTGTTTGTTTGTCACTGTTGCCATCCCCTGGAATTCAGAGAGGGCGAAGGATATACCCAAAACCACATCTCATCTCTGGGAAGAGGTGAAGTTCAGCATCAAAGGCAGTCTTGTTGGACTCTTCCCACCACTTGAACCACCTGCCGGGCACTGGGAAGGTTTGGGGAGAAGCAAGGAATGTGTCCCAAGGTGAGATACTGGCCCAGGCTTCCTTTCCATTCTATTCCATTCACATGAACCATGTTCTGTGTCAAGCTCTGGAAAGAGTGGAAATCTTGAGCCCTGCTCTGGGACTTCCTCTGTTCAGCAAGGACACAGACAGATAATTGGGGAGTCTTGTGGAAGCTTGGACCTGGGAGTGGGGTCATTCAAAAAGGGTTTCTCTGAGGAAAAGCACCATTCACTCACTATGGAGCCTATGACCATTGTTTTTTTCTGCCTGAATGCTGCCTGTATGATACATACAGTGATGGCTCCAGGCCCCTGCTCCTGGGGGATTTGAGGGGATAGAGTGCCCAGTGGAATCTGGATAGGGAGGAGGAAGGACAGTAGTGTCCTTGGTAGAAAACTGGGCCTCTGCAAAGATATGAGTCAATCTGTGGTTGAAGAGGTCCTGAATTTACTTAGAGGCCCAGGTCAATTTATGTGGAAATTAGTATCTAGTCAAGGTCTCTTCTAGTTGCTGACAGCTAATGCTTTACCCTGGGGAATTGCTACATTTCCTCATCTACAACAGAAGGTGGGTCCCCAAAGGCACCTCCAGATCTTAGCGATATTGTTATTCCATCATTAAATGACCAAAATCTATTCCATATAACTATTTGGAGGCAGTTGGCAGGGAAGCTAGTTTGAATAGAGGATGGGGTTTAAGCCCCGCCCCTCTATTTCCTGGGCGGGGCTCGGGCTCCGCCAATGATTTAAGGGCGTCTTTGTAAGAGGCGGGGCTTCAGAGAGCTTCCGGCGGCACCACAGAGGCGATCTCACGTGCAGTGTTGGCACCCGGACTTCAACGAAGACAAGTACTCCGATGTTCCAGACTTTTCCCTTCATCTCACTCTTGAGTGCCCAGTGAGTAAACTTGTTTCCTGAGTTCTCAGTCATTCTAGCAAATAACTGAACTCTAGGTGGGCTTCCTGGGGATCGCAGAGAAGGGTCTGGAGTCTGAGGAGATTATGGGGAACTCTGACTGGGTGGGGGTCGGGGGTTACTCTGGGCTTGAGGTTGGCGTGTAAAGTAGAAGGAAGACGTGGGAGACGGAGCCTTTACCTGTGGAAGGTGCGGCTATCTCGGGTAGATTGTGTCAGTGGAGCTGAATTGAGCTCAGTGTGGACAGTGTGGACAGCCTACTGGTGTCCGAGACTTGCTTGCTGGTGTGAGGAGGCCCCACCCGCATCCCGGAGTTGAGCTGCTGGTAGCCTTATACACGCCCTAAAGTGGAAGGCATAGGGAAATACATGTGGGGTGGAGTGTGTTTGTGCTCTGGACGTCTATGGAAGGTTTCCCTCACTAATGGGACACATCCTGCCGAGGGAACCAAGGAACTCTTGATGGATGAAAATGTGGGTGGTCTTTCCAGGTTCCCATCCACAGGGACCCAGCAACTCAGCTGTGAGTTGGAAAGGCTTTCTTCCTCAATTGTGGGGTCTGTACAAGGTGCAGGTAGAAATCAGACAGCAGAGAGGTTCCTTTGAGGTCAACCTACCTAGCTGTAGCTTGGAATTACTAGCTGTCTGAGCCAGCTCTCGTGGCTGGACACCCCAGCCTCTCCCTCCTTAATGGCCAAAGCCAGGCCCAACTGGCCTCGGTGGTCCAGGAGAGTGAGGGCCCCACTGCAGCACCTGTAGCTGCAGAGCTGGCTCAGCCGATGAGTGTGAGGCAGGAGAGGCCAAGTCCCTCAGGATGGGGATCTAAAGCAGCTTTGGTCAGTAATGTGACCCACACACGAGATACTAGTAGCCACATGTCTATAAAGTAAGAAGCAGATCAAATGAGTTAGTGAGATATATTTATATAATCAAAATCCAAAATACCATCACTTGGGCCCTCTTTGGTGGCACAAAGGGTTAGAGCACAGTACTATGAAACTATCTGCAGTCAGTGCAGCATGAGTTTGATCCCCAGCCAGGGGGGTGACCCACATGGTGTAGCAGAGCACTCCTGACCTGCCTGCTGCTCCCCTCAGCAGTGTACTTCAGTCAGTCTGGCCTGTTCTGCTCCCCACTCTGTCTCTGGTGAATCCTCTCATCACCCCTGCACCTCTGGCCTGTACCCCAGTTCTGTATGTATAAATAAATCTTTTTTTTAAAGATTTATTTATTTATGCATTCAGAACTGGGGTACAGGCCAGAGGCTCAGGGGCAGTGAGAGGATTCACCAGAGACAGAGTGGGGAGCAGAACAGGCAGTTCGAGGAAGTACACTGCTGAGGGGATCAGCAGGGGCAGGTCAGGAGAGGTCTGCCACACCATGTGGTAGCCTCCAGGGCAGGAGGGAATGGAACTCATGCGGAAGTGGCTTAAGCTTCTTAGGTGCTGTGCTTTAATCGAATGCACCACCAGGGAGGGCCAAATCTTTTTTTTTTTTTTTAAGCAAGTTACAATCACTTAAACATAAGCAATCTAAAATAATTGTGAATGAGCCAGTGGCACAAAAATCCCAAATGCTAGGTGGGAGCATTTCCAAGAAAGGAGTGTCCACTTACACCCTCTCCCAACCCTCCACCGCACACCCATCATATACTGACTGAGGACACCAGGATGAACACATGCCCTCATGGAGAGGCCAGGCCCCAGTCGGACAGTCTTTAATCAGATAATCTCAAGTGGTGTGTCATCACATACTGAGACCAGTTGCCTGTGAGTGCAGATTTGTGGGGACAGAGGTTTTAGGCTGTATCCCTGTTCTCTCCTTGTTTTTACTAAACTTCAGCAAAGGAGAGTCTGGAGCGCCATCTGCTGTCCACAGGTGGCAGCTCAGATGCTCCCACCTCCAGTGCTGAGGCCACCTGCACCAGGGCCAACCCTGCATTCCCCAGGCTCAGACCTCAAGCCTCCTTTGTATGGGGTCTTCCTTGTGACCCCTACACCTTCTGCCACATTGCCCTCTGCCAGCCGGGCTGGACAAGACTCTTCTCTGTCAGCCCTCAGGAACCAAGGGACAAAAAGCCTCCTGAGAGATTAAGGCATTAGTTGGTGCTTACTTGGGGTCCAGCCCAAGTTGGGCTGGGTAGAGCAACAAGACACCTGCCTTCTGATAACTGGCACACAGAGAGGAAGTAAAGGGTGGGTTGACAGGGAGTATTACTGAGCCAGCGTCAGACTCACTGCTCATCTGTTTATCCCCAGAGCTGCCAGAGGAGGCAGCAAAGATCCCTTCTGTTGGAGATGAGGCTTTCAGAACTCTTAAAAGGCACCATTGACCTAGGCTAGGAGAGGCAGGTTGCTCAAAGCAGTCTTTACACACATGCAGGATACCCCTACTTTTCAACCTCACCTGAATGGATGTTTGAGAACATCCTTGATGTTAAGTTCTTGACACTGAGGACTGAATCTCAGCATCCCATTCTTCATTCTTTTGATGAGAGATAGGCAGAGGCTCTAGGTAAACATTTGGGAGATGCGTGATAGACTAAAGGAGATTGTAAAATACAGGTTTTAGGGCAGCCTTTTGAGGTTCAGGTAGGCTCACTACCAAGAGTCAAAGGGAAGGAGAAAGGCATAGTGTTCTGTCACAGAGGTGACTAGAGCAGCAGGCTCAGTGCAGCAACGGGTGCACCACACCTGGCCTGGAGAAGTGCCCACCTCAGCTCTGTCTGAGGGAACCTAGGGCAGGTTTCAGAGGCCCTGGTGCCGGCTGGTGAGGGAGACCTTCAGTGACTGGAAGGGCTGGTTGTCACATTTGGCAAATAATACAAAATACGGTGCAATTAGAATTTCAGGCAAAAGATAAATACTTCTGGGCCTCCCTGGTGGTGCAAGGGGTTAAAGTGTAGCACTAAGAAGCTACCCACAGCCACTACGGCATGAGTTCGATCCCCGGCCAGGGAGCTGACCCACATGGTGGAGTAGACCTCTCCTGTCTCGCTCGCTGCTCTCCTCAGCAGTGTATTTCAATTAATCTGCCTATTCTGCTCCCTCTCTGACTCTGGTGAATCCTGTCACTCCCCTGAACCTCTGGCCTGCATCCCAGTTCTTGTGTGCATAAATAAGTAAATCTTAGGGGGGGGGGAAATGATGAATACTTTTTTCATATATGTAAATTCCAAATGTCATATCCAATATTCTACTCGGCATGTCCTCCATGACCCTGTGTCCCCTGCAGAGGATTGGTGCTGGTGAACAATTTATACTGTATAAACTGGAGCAGGTCCGAACTCTCCTGACAGCTCACACCTGCAGTGCATGAGCAATGGAAAGAGGCCTATAGCCATGAGCCAGGACACACAGAGCCCAACCTACACTTTCCTTAACGCTACAGCTCCTATTGCATCTCATGTCTCAACCCATAGCTGAACAGAGAGAGCATCAAG